AGATCATCGAGTCCAACCTTTCACCTAACCCTGACATCCCACCACTAAACCATGTCCCTAAGCACCTCATCTATCCTTCTTTTAAATACCTCCAGGGATGAGGACTCTACCACCTCTCTGGGAAGCCCATTCCAGAGCCTGACAACCCTTTCGGTGAAGAAGTTTTTCCTAATGTCTAGCCTAAACCTGCCCTGGCGCAGCTTCAAACCATTCCCCCTCGTCCTGTCATCTGTTACCAGGGAGAATCCATCCAAGGCAGAGAGCTCGAGCCTAGAGACTCAAGAGGAACAGCTTGGATATTCTGCATACCAAATAGGATCATGTCACCTTTCTTGCCTTGCTGAATGTATTTTGTGTCCCCCTTTCTTTTGTTGCACAGGATCCGGGCCAGTTACACCTTCGCTGGTGAAAGGTGGCACACATACCTATGTAAACATGCCATGTCTTTCTTCATATCCACGCTACATCAAAGGGAGATTCTTTCACATTCACTTTGCAGGTATACAGTGAAGGTGAAAGGAGGCAGTGGTAGATATGATGCAGTGGTTTCTCCATCTATCCACCTGTGTGCAGTGCAATCCCAGTTGCTGTGGCATGTTTCTATCAGGGGTCCTACTTTCCATTATTTCTTTGTTGAGTGATGAGCAGTATTACAAAATGAGGTGCTCAAACCTCGGTATTAAACTTGCAACAGGAATGTTTAATGTACATCACCATTATTAAAGCATGTGGTGTTTTGCCTCTCCAGGTTTCAAGACACAAGTTTTGGTTGTTCTGTTTTGTGCTATTTAAGCTGACTAGTTCCTTCACCTCTAGTTCTAAGGCTGCAAGTCCTACTTCAGCACAATGAGACAGCTGCCATGCTGCCCTGGCTTGTGCAAGGTAACAACTACGAGGAACCTGACCATGAAGCAGACCCAGAACATTGTGATCCTTGACCCATCCAGAAACAAGGTCTGTGAACAGAAAAATTAGGGAAATCTGGTGATCTGAGGTTATCTCCCAGGGCTGATTGACTTGGACACCCAACGATCAGGTTCCAACTGAACTTTTTCTTGCTATTTTGAGACTACGGTATGAATTCTCCTGTATGATTATTGTAGGCAGGGATAGAATCACACAAAACTCCTCCCTCAGTGAAAGGGTGTCTGTCTGATTGCCAATATGCATAACTCCTGGGAATTAGATTATCACCTTCAAAGTCACCATTAAAGCTACAGAAGAAAGATTGGTCAAGGGTTCAAAAGTTTGTGGGGAGCAGAGAAGAGGAACTTGGTAGTGCATAACAGAGTTCCTCCCATGCCTACAGCAGGGATGCCCAAAGCTCAGCCGGTCTTCCTATCCATCTCCCTTACAGCCAGGAGAAATACTGCACGTAAGTCTAATTCATCCAACCTACTTTGGACATCTCCTTCCAGATGAGATGAAATGCACCCCAGACTGCCTTTACTGTTTTGACTGATCACTGCTGATCATAAAAGACCACAGATTAGTGTAGATTCAGACACCTACAATGTAGACACTGATGTTTAATCAGATGCACTACAGACAAACAGCGTAAGAGCGTGGTCATATGAAAAACAGTTTCATGGAGAAAAAAAAAAAAAGAATTTTTTTTAGTGTTAGAGAAGGGAGATGTAACAGATAATAGACACTGATCCTAATACTAATTGAAAAGTACAAGGTGAGCCGTGTCTGACCAGTATCGATGTTTGGGGGAAAAATGCCCAAAATACAGATTCCTCTTTATCTCCCATATTTTTCAATTTCATGCACCTACTGCTTCCAATTGGAAAACCCAGAAACAGAAATGCAACAATTCCAGCTGTGAGACTATTATTGGCAGACTGTCAACTCAATTCTGCACACCCAGAAGGCTAAATCCTTTAGCACTCAACTGTAGTTTTTACCAAGGTCTTACTCAAGCAAAACTCCCATTGAAGGAGATTACCTTGACTGTAAATCATGTATAAAGCCATCAGATGAGAGCTTCAGGGCTTGTCCAAGGATATTTGGGAAAGGTATTTTCAGGACATGGCTCAAGTAGTGCTCTGAAATTTGAAATGGTCTGGATTTGGATGGAGGTGATGAGACCTTTCCTCTTTACTATCAGTCAAGCAGCCTTATTTCTAAATTATCAGTTCAGCCTGCAGGCATTTCTTAATTTATTTAGAGTGCCACATAAACACAAATGTTAACATCACTTACTGTTCATTTTCATAATATAATTTGCCAATGGCCCAGGCAATGATGATCGGGCAAGGAATACCTGCAACAGCAAAAAATCAGGAGTTAATCACAACCTGTGTATGGATGGATGATACAGATTTAGATTCAGATTTGTGTGAGGAGAGTCTTGGTTAATGAACTGGAAGACTCTAAATACAAGTGGTTGTATCTTGGTATACTTGAGACATAGCAATTGCTAAGACCTCTTTATGTATGCATAAAAAAGGTCATCTCAGAAAGAGAAAAGTCTAGTACTAGTAAGAAAAGTTCATAAAATTATTAACGAACACACATATATACCTATATTTCTATGTAAGCGATCAGAACAATTTTGGCTGGCCTAAAGGCAATTTTGGTCCCTTTTAATTTTCCTGCAGTTGATACGGCAGAACCTTAAGAGACGTCACTTGGAGGTGAGTGGTTAGATTTTTATTCCCAGGGTACAAGAAGCTTGTAAATTTATTGGAATCTTTGGATGAAGCTCATTTTCAGCAATTTTTTTAGTTGAGTCTTCCCTGTGAAACAGGAATATGAGAAAGAATCTCCTGATATTTTGCAACATCAGAATTCATTCATCATTTGCTGTTTCTAATGGATCCAGCTACTCTTTACTTTATATATATCATTCTATCTATGATATGCAGTGTGCTCTGTATCTGCATGTTAGTTATTAACAAGGCCATGCATTTTTATTTACAGGGCTTGCTTTTTCAATTATTCCCAGAAAGTGCTACAACCCCATGCAATGCTACAGGTGTGGGGAAGAGTGGTTGGAAAGCTGCCCAGCAGAAAGGGGCCTGGAGGTGCTGGTCGACAGCCGGCTGAATATAAGCCAGCAGTGTGCCCAGGTGGCCAAAGAAGGCCAATGGCATCCTGGCTTGTATCAGGAATAGTGTGGCCAGCAGGAGTGATTGTACCCCTGTACTCGGCACTGGTGAGTCCATGCCTTGAATACTGTGTTCATTTTTGGGTCCCTCACTACAAAAAGGACATTGAGGTGCCTGAGCGTCTCCAGAGAAGGGCAATGAAGCTGGTGAGGGGTCTGGAGCACAAGGATGACGGGGAGCAGCTGAGGGAGCTGGGGTTGTCTAGCCTGGAGAAGAGGAGGCTGAGGGGAGACCTTATTGCCTTCTACAACTGCCTGATAGGAGGGTGTAGCAAGGTGGAGTTTGGTCTCTTCTCCCTGGTAATGGGCAACGGGACAAGAGGAAACGGTCTGAAGTTGTGCCAGGGGAGGTTTAGATTGGACATTAGGAAAAATTTCTTCACAGAAAGGGTTGTCAAGCACTGGAATGGGCTGCCCAGGGAAGTGGTGGCGTCCCCATCCCTGGAGGTTTTTAAAAGATGGATAGACGTGGTGCTTAGGGAGATGGTTTAGTGGTGGTCTTGGCAGTGCTATGTTAACAGTTGGACTCGATGATCTTAAAGGTCCTTTCCAACCTAAATGGTTCTATGATTCTACCCTTTTGGTAAATCTTCTGTTTTCTTAATGTCCATCTGGACCATCCCAAACCAATATGTGGTCATTGTTCCTTCTTATAACAACTGCTATTACCAAGAATAATTTGGCTCCATCACCTTTGTAATTGTCCTTCAAATCATTCTTGTTACCTACTAGATCCCTCCTTAGCTTCCTCTCTGCCAGATTAAACAAGCTCAGCTCCTTCAGCCTCTCTTCAGAGGTCATGTCCTCTAGATCCTTGATCATATTGACAGCCTTCTACTGGCTAATCTCCAGTTTTTCCATGTCCCTTTTTTCCTTTGAGACCCCAAACTGACAACAATATTCCAAAGGCAGCTTTGTCAAAGCTGAGTAGAAAGTATAACTTCCCTCAATCTTCTGGTCACACAGTATGTGTTTTATTTTATTCATGATGAGAAGGCACTGATGGCTCATACTCAGTCTGCAACCACCGCAAGCCCTACATCTTTTTCATCGGATTGCTACTCTGACAGTCAGTTCCCAGTCTGTACCTACAGACCAGCCCATATTGATGTAGCTAGGGCAAAGGAGCAGCCTTTGCTCTGGCCCAGGCTGACACGGTAGAAGGGAGGTAAATCCGTGCAGTGAGCTCTTTTTCTGTCTTTGAGTAGCCACAAGGATAGTACAAAGGTGACGTGTGACTTGTTGTTAAGGGCTGTTTCCAAAACAGCTGTAAGGTTGGACCAGCACATAACTAGTCTTTGCTTCTAGTCAGCTCCTCACTTAGAGGTGTCTTGTCTGTCTCTTGAGACTGAGTGGTCCACGGGCATGGACAGTGCCTTTTCTGTTTCGTGCCATGTTGAGCAGCAGAGCATAAGGGGTTGTGATCACTGCTTTGCTGATCGAAGTGAAAGGGACATGGTATGAACGGCTGTATTCCCAAAATGCTGAGCTTGGGAGTTCTCTTTCTTTCCTTAACACCAGGTGCCTGAGGGTCTAAATGAAGAAGATAAATCCAGCAGTAACCTATTAGCTTTATGTCATCACCGCAGTGGAGAACTAAACCTGATCTCATGTTCTTCTGACAAAGTTAGCTTTGAATGTCAGATTTCACCACAGTGGAATTTTCCAAGTTTCTTCTTGCTGCTCTTGTCTTTATCACTTTAATGCCAGGTACCACATAAAGCCATTTTAAACACACAGGGCACTTACACCATCCTATGAAGAGAAAGACCCATTTCCGCAGCTTATCTGTGGAATAAGTCATCACTATAGCAGTGTGCAGGTAGCAGCCTTCCACGAACATCCAGAAGAAGTTGGTCACCACAAAATAATTGTAGACAGTGGTAATACATCGACACCAGGGCTGGAAAGGAAACAGAAAACAATATTTTAATATCATGGTGAGAACATTTTAAAAATTCTTTGTCTTGTTCCCTTAAAAATCAGTGGTAGAATTCATTCAGGGGATGCAGATCTATACATGTGACTTGGAATCAGAATATCTTAGATGCTGTCGGGAACTCACAGCTATGTCTGTGGCTTTCTGCTGAGGCTTGGCTTTGACCCCAACATGCAGGAACTCTTGTACCTGAGCATGTCTGGAAGGTTAACATGCCGCAAGGCACATCCACACCAGCAGTCTGCAAGAAGTTTAAGAGGCAGCCGTGTGGAAAGAAGGCAAGAGGAGGCAGATCGTTTGACTACAGATGATCTTTCAGAGAGGTACAGCCGTAGCCCCGGGTCATATCCAAAGATGACATAAGAGTCTAAGCATATCTTAGGCAGTATAACCCACCTGCTGAGCAATTCAAAGAAAATATAAACTAGAAGTTAATGTCACAGTCTTGCTTCATTTCCACTGAAGGAAAGGAGCACCACTGACATTTAGAAAAAAGATATTTACTTTAAAGATATGCTTTTATCAGCTACTTCATCCCCTCTACTCCTGCCGTTAGGGCTTCACTCTGCAAGGCACACCACCACACACATCACCTCTGAATTTTTGCCATAGCTTCAACAGGAATTTTTGGTCAGGCTCAATGTAGCAGTAAAGGCATCTCCTAATGGCTGTGCAGTGAGAGCACAGATGTGGAATACACAATTGACTGTAGAGAGGCAGATGATAACATCACATCAATAAATCACAAGTAACTACTGATGGTAATTTCCACAGTGCTACACACAGAAGTCTGGGAAACTTTCCTTCTGACCAAGCAGGCATTCAACATATTCCCTGAAGCATGACATTAATTACCTGTGTTAGCTGGTATCACTGATATCATTTTGGTTTCACCATTCTCCAGCCTTTTAATTCACTCTACTAAAGTATTTGAAACTTTTGACCCACAGTTAATTTTATTTCAGACTTTGTATGCATGAGGTATTGAAGATCTCTAGGCAGCTGACAGAGCAGCAGGTGCACTATCAAAGCCAGCAAAATTCTGTGGACTAAGAATTCATTGGGCAAGAAACACAGTTACAAAATGATAGCCCATTCACAGGCTGTGATCGCTTCTTTTTATGGAGCTGGAATAAACAGAAGACATCTTCTGGATGTGTTAAGGCTTTCCTTTCTGTATTATTTCATTAAGATTTGAAATTTAGTTTGGCTAAGAGACTCTAAGTCTCACATTCAACATTTTGAAGGTATGGGCATGAATTAAACCTTTCCCTGTGGCCTCAGTCTCATGTAAATTCTCTGATATAGTGTCTAGACTCTCGTTCCCTTCTCGCCCTCAGTTGCAATATTTGCGCAGTTTTTGTCCCTTCCACAGCTGCCCATTTTCACAAGAATTGTAAAAATAATTTTATCCCAACCTGTTGTTCCTGTGTCAGACCGAGTGGAGTTGGCCAGTGGGTTGGGAAGGTACTGGGACAGATACAAATACACATGATGGTGATGAGATCTCCCTCTGCATCGTTTCCATAGGAAACCAGAATAAAATGAATTTTGAGCAATTCCTTCTGGAATTGTGGATTTATTATTATTAAATAATAAACCCAATTAGCAGAGCTCATTAGTTTATACCATGTCATTTATTTGACTGAGGATTCTTGATCCCCATATGTATCCACCATTAGGCTCCAGATGTCTTCAGCAATTCCCCTTCTTGATTTATTAACATGAGCACTATAAATTTGTGCAAAATGTTTCCACATTGAGTCCTTGATGCTTCTGTAACTGCATTATTACTGATCAGCACAGAAGAGATCACATCATTAGCTGGCATAAGTGATTGTGCTCCCATTGATGTCAGTGGTATTATTTTGACTCTGACTTACACCACAGTAAGAACATAAGAAAATTACCCCTAAGCTTGTGTAAAGCACCTTCCCAAAAAGACTGCAGCGTTCTGCAGAGAAAAGATGAGTTAATGAGAACTGAGGCATGTGCGGATCTGTCTTTATATTTGCAGGTTTATATTTTCCTTGGCACATTGTGTTCACATTTTAAAAGGCCTGACTCCAACTGATTTTTTCCTAAATAACTAAAAATATGTATTAAGATTGGCACTGTTGTAATGAGAGTAAATCATGCAGCAATAAAGCTCATATACCACCACCTTCTGTAGCCTGAAAATGTCAGAAACATAGACAAAGCAGTGAATTAATAAAGCTACACCTTCTCAAAGGAGCATCTACTTGAATAATAACACAGAGTTATGCATAGATGTCTCAAAAAACTTAGGATCTTAGACTTCTTTATTTAGGTACTAATGACTTTTCTATTTTTGTTTTCCCAAAGTATGGGATTAAAGTTCAGATGTCAAATCTTACATTTGAAAAGTTAACCAAGGATGACGAGTACCCATCTGACATTAGAATACATGGCTACCCAGGCTCCTGGGGTGGTTTTCAATTTCCACAGGACCAGTTCCTATGTGAGCGGAGCTACCTTGATTGATATCAGCTATGGATCCATATTCCATAGGCACTTTAGTCCACTTGCTTTCCAAAGAGAGAGAACACGAAGAGGGTGTGTGTGTGTGTATGTGTGTGCATGTGTGTTTGTAGCACACTGATAAGTTTTTCTTGATTATGGAGGTAAATATCAGGGGACAACCCTAAAAGGAGACTATTCCACTACAAGACTATTACAATGGGAATGTGAACAGTAAAAACCTCTGCCAAGGGACTATCAAAAAGAACTATTCCCCAAGAAAATCAAGATAAATGCTTTTTTTTCTGGAGTAGATGCTTTTAATCCACTCCAAAATCCTTATATTATCGGGGCTGCTTGGTGACCAAACGGGGGAGCCATTACATAGGGACTGGTCCAATGTCCTCACTCAAACCATCATCTGCAGTTGGTAGTTACGTGAAACATGAAATTACTTTGAAATTAAGAGAAGTGGGAACATAGTGAGACACTGCATATCTCAAGAGTGCTCAATGCCATGCAAAGAAGATGCCCCACTTCTGGCCCCCTTCTGCCTCCCCGTGTTTTATTGTGTGGATCTGTCTGGCCCTTTGAACTGGCTCTGACTCTCAATCAGCCATCAGAAAGCTGACTTAGATCACTATGCCGGCAAAAAAATTTTCCTTGCTTTTTTGTTGACTAGGTTAGTTCTCTACGAGTTTAGTGGGTTTGGTCTCCAAGGCTTCAGTCCTCTGCAAGGGATCATGAAGAGGAACAGAGCTCGTGCAAAAGAATCAGAAGGAGCTGGAGTGAAGCGTTTGGGTCCCTGGATGAATGAGCCATCCCTTTCAGTGACAAGGAGTTGCTGCTGAATGCAGCCCATATCACAGGACTTCATCTTCAAGGCCAGCACAGAGAAGGAGGGATTAGCAGAAAAATGGAATTTTGTAAAGAAACCCCACAAAGATATCAACAAGCAAAATTTGTACTGTTTCAGGCCCTATTTCTTATTTTCTTGGGAGTCCCACTGACTCCAGACAGCAAGGTACCCACTGTCATCAGACAAAATAGCTGACTCAGAGCTGCAACAGCCAAATCAATTATTTCTGTACTCTGTTCATGGAGATGTTGGCCTCTGGAATGAATGCTTTCCCTTCAAAAGTACACATCACTGCAAGATGCTCTGACAAAAATGTTCAAGAAACACCAAATTTAGAGTCTCGCACAATACTGCGTCTCACAGTATAGAAATTTGGAAAGTATCTACAGTCAATGAAAATAAGGGAGAAGCATTTGGGTGGGGTTTTTACTTCGAAAAAAACCCCTTTGATATTCAGTAATGAGGAAATAAATGAAAATTTAGTAAATCTAAGCTTATTTTCTTAATCTTTTTGAAATTACATGAATCATAGAAGCACAGAATCCTAGGTTGGAAGGGACCTCAAGGATCATCTATTCCAACCTTACAAGTCACTCTGAGCATGTGGATAGGTGCCCTTTGTAATATTTCTATCAGATGAACAAATCTGGCATCCCTGCCTGCCCCCAAACTACGTGACAGAGATGTGCCACCTCCAAGGACTTACTTCATTGCTTTCATGGATGTTGTGATCTATCATCTGAAGCAGAAACCACATCACATTCCTCAGGATGAATGTGGTGATCAAGTTCCAGTGGATAATATTCCGCAGGCATCTGATACTCCTAAACAGGGAAATACATTTAAATCATCATATATAGTGAAGGTATGCCCATGAACATTACTGACTATATAAAATAAACAAGTTAATTCTGTTCTCTTGCAGAATTCCTTATGGTTTATTCCCCTCCATTACCTCTCTTACACTATGAAACAGGAGGTTCATCTGTCCAATGGGCCAGCAACAACAGCCTATGAGGGTGTCTGTAGCTTATATCTTCACCAGCAAGCACATCTGGGTCTGGTCCCATTCTCTGGCTCTCAGGGTAAATTCATAGAAGCATAGAATGTTTGGGGTTGGAAGGGACCCCTAGAGGTCATCTAGTCCAACCCCCCTGCAGGAGCAGGGACACCGCTAACTAGATCAGATTGCTCAGAGCCCCGTCCAACCTGGCCTTGAATGTTTCCAGGGATGGGGCCTCCACCCCCTCTCTGGGCAACCTGTTCCAGTGTTTCACCACCCTCATTGTAAAGAACTTCTTCCTTATATCTAGTCTAAACCTACCCTGGTTTAGTTTAAAACCATTACCCCTTGTCTTGTCACAGCTGGCCCTACTAAAAAGATTGTCCCCATCTTTCCTATAGGCCCCCTTTAGGTACTGAAAGGCCGTAATCAGGTCTCCCCGCAGCCTTCTCCTCTCCAGGCTGAACAAGCCCAACTCCCTCAGCCTGTCCTCATAGCAGAGGTGCTCCAGCCCTCGGATCATTTTTGTGGCCCTAAATTGCAGCGCCAGTGCCAAAGACAAAACTTTCATTTTGCAGTGTTGTCACAACACAAATAAATTACATAAATATAAACCAGCAACAGCAGGATGGCCAAATCTGTTCTTCTTTTCCTTGCTGTATACCTTTCTTATGGAAACCACCCAGCATAACTTTTGCAAAGCCATGCTCAAAAATTTGTCCTGATAACATGAGGAGCTCCCTTTGATAATAATCAATTCAAGCAAGTGAAACAGGGTCTGCTGGAAAGACCCAAATATTCAGATGGCCATTTCATCCCTGATTAACATTTTTGCTCCCCTCCTCCCAAACCCATCAGCTCTATCGTAATGTCAGCTAGAACTGATAAGCCCCTAAGCAACAAGGCTGCACTGGAGTCTGCTGCATTGTTCACAGGAGGAGATTTGGTGACAAGTATCTGCTCTGGACAGGCAAGTTGGAATAGTTTACGCTTGGGCAGTCTCTTGAACAGGCTCGCCTGTGTGAAGTTCGAAGTTTTCAGACCCGTTAATGCGATAGGAGAGCATGGACCGCCTGGTTTTCAGTCCTGAGCTCAGATGGCTGTACCACGCTTTCTTAAGGTAGAGCTGCATATTCTCCTTCCCCAGAAAATATCTGTGTCTGGTTTTAGCCCTTTCCCAGCCCCTTTTCAGATGCAATGTAAAATATGAGCACAACGTAAAATACGAGCTACAATGAGTTCGGACACAGTGCCATAAAACAAAAGAGGGAACTTCTTAAATAGTGCTTGCTGCTGAAAATGGCTCTGGGAGGCAGCCAGTGCATGACGCTGATGCCAGCAACCAAAGTATTGCTGAAGCTAGACAGAAAGTTACTCATTCCATCATCTGAGACCAGATCATTTGTGTCTTCTCATTCTTTGTGAAACGGTAAAGGAAGGTGGGTGCCAAGTTGCAGTTTTGCAACTAAACGATCTTTTCTCAGCTAAACACAATACGCTGCAGTTACTGAAGTCACTTCCACAGGGGTTCAAATAGCCAGTGCATTTCCCAGGATCACCAGGTTAGGATTCTGTGTTTGCCGTACCAGTCTCCCTGTTGCAAATGAAGCTGTCAAATAACATCGGACACACACAGAAAGTGGTGTTCTCAAACCTGCTCAACTGCAGCTGATTGTAGCTCATCCCACTGACAGCCAAAAGAGAAGGCACAGCCCAACAACCAACTTTGCTGTTGCCTCAGGTCTTTTGCATGACAAACAAGCCAGCCTTCTTAAAAACAAACACTATTTTACTGTCATAAAACACTTACTGTGCTTTTCCTAGGACTTGATTAGTCAGTTTTAGGGCCAGAAGCAATTCTGTGATGTCCTTCAGCCTCACAAATCTCTCAAAGATTTCACAGCAATCCAGCAAAAAAACAAATAGAAGACCTCCCACATATGAGATATTGCAACTTACAGAGAGATGCTCAGAGGTATAAACCTACTAAGTCAATGTCAAAAGAGCTTCTGAGTTTCACAGAAAAGCTTCTGAGTTTAACAACTCAGGCTGCAGGTACAAAATTGGTATTTGGCTTTGAAAGCCTCAGTGACTCATGACTGGAGTCAATTTAGAAAACAAATCTCCAGCTGCTCAGATCCAGTCACTTTTATTTAGGCTACAAAACCCCAAAGCGTTGCTCTCAGTGTAACCTGTGCTAGCAGGGGACGCGTGGGAGACACATCTCACTTTGGAAATTTCACTTCTAACAAAAGGCAAAGTTTCAGGGTTTGGCTTTCAAAGAAACTAGGTGATCAACACCTACTGCCTTTCACGCTGAACCCCAGGAACCCATCTGGCTCTGGACAGACTTGGAAACGTGCTGTTCAGGTCTGTTCTCTGATGACATACATGTCCTGTGGCTGCTGTTCATCTAGATGTTTTATTCATTCCCTTCAGGTTAAGGATTAGCAGATTAAGGAAGGAGTTTGAAACACTGCTTCTGTGGGGAGAGGGAGGCAGGGGACTAGGAACTGACAAAATTCAGGTCAAACTGTAGAGTTACTGGCATGAAATTAATTGCTTTTGAGAGCTCTAACAACAAAACAGATCCAGCCCACTTGCCACCTGAATGTATTTCTTGACAAAGAGAAGATAAAGGAGTGGAGAAAAAAAAAATCCTTGCTGCATGCCTCCATTTAGATGTAGTTTAATCATCTCATATACTGGGAAATCACTAAATCTGGCTGGAAGAAACCTTAATCCCACAAGATTTACAGCAGGACATTGGACTGGCTGCAGAGGCAAATAGGATCAAACACATAGTTGTAGACTTTTTGATTCAGTTCCTAAAAAGAGCTTTCCCCTCAGTGGGATCCTAGTCATCAAAATCACATTCGCTTCTGTGGCTTGGAATATAAATACAACCTCAGCATCTCGTGGCTGCATGATCTTTACTCTCCTTACTACTTCTTGGTCAGACTGTTTTGTCGTCTTTGCCATTGGACTTTTGTTTGAGTTGTAAAATGCTTGGGACAGAGGCAAACTTTTAGTGATGTGTGTTCGGGATCCAGAGCAAGAGGGTCTGGTCTGTGTTGGGAACTCCCAGGCTGTACAGATAATTATGATCAAAACTCTCCTTGTTTACAAAAAGCCACACGTGCTGAGGGAAGATGTGTTCCTGGTGTAAAATTAAGTAAAGTATAAATGTGACCAGCAGCTGGAATTTACCAAAATGAGGCCTGAAGCCTTGTCAAATAATGCTTTGGACATGAACCAGGGACAGCCGGCTCCCGTGTCTCACTACCCTTAGCCATACTTTGGGTATCAGGAACCTTGTACCATGGCCTCATTCCCTTCCTGAGACACTCTGTGTGTCACAGGGATGGTAAGTAGATGCTTTCACCTGCTAAAAAGCTTCATGCCTTGGGGCTAACAGCAATGAAGAGGCTATAGAGCAAGCATCTTGCTTTTCCAGCTGCGGTCTCTCCCCAGTCACATTCCCCACCACCCTACGCCTTGGCAAAGCAGCACAGACAGGAGGGGCAGGATTTGCTTTTGTGATGTCTGGGCCACTACTCTGCTGGTGTTAATAGCAGTTAGGGTTTTAATGGGAACGCCAGTATAGTCAGGCTGAGAAACACATGTTGGAAAGTGCCACAGGGTTTCTCCATGGCTCAGGTAGTGATGTGACCCCAGGCACAGAATGGTTTTAACCTTTTCTTTTTTTTTTTTTATTTTTTTCCCTTTCCTTTTAGTTACGAGTCCCAAGTGGAGACTTGTAAATTTGTTTTTGTTTGTAGAGAGCCTAGAGCACATGGTTTCTGTTTGCTTCTGTCTCCTAACTACTACTAGCAGAGAAATCATGGTGGCAGTAATGCAATTCATAGCCAAGGGCAGGAAAAGCTTGAGAAATAACTGCGTCGGGTTCACACTGGGGAGGGAGAAACAGCAGGGTTAACGTGGTGTGTGGAGGCTGCAGGGCACAGCAGTGGAGGACTACAGCTAAGCCAATGGATGCAACAAGGGAAAGATCTCTTGTCAGCCACCTGAGAAAGCCGCTCTCGTTTACAGACACTGCTGGTGAATGTCATTATCGTCATTTAGTTTGGGTGAAGCATCTAAAGGGATACTGACTGAGATGAGGGTCTCCTCATTTCAGGCACTGCTCACCTGAGACTGTTCTGCTGGGCTCAGGAGCTAACCCTGTGCACAAAGTTTATATGTGTAGCCAGCCTGGAGTCTGAGGTGGGCAGTCAATGAATTGGGCAACAAAGCTGGTGAGTAATAGGAGACCGGCAGTGTCTGGGGAAAGGACAAAGCCAACCTTGTCATACTCACTCATCTCAAAGCCTGAGGAAGAAACTAATAATATTCATAGGAGTAATTTGTCCTCCACAGGTCTTTTCCTGTCTCTTGGTAGATGGAAACCTAGCTTAAATTTATACAACTTAATTTAGATGTAAATAGTCCTGTTATCCAGGAAAGTGACCTGTCCCTTTTTGAAAACTTGTTCAACAGCCATATCAGTCTTCTGTGACAATGAGCTCCACAGCTCCTTTCTCCTTGGTTAATTAATGCCTTCACTCTGTGGAGTGAAAAGGTAAGGAAGCCTGTGCCCCAGGAACAGCAGGAACTGCCCTCACAGACAGCACTGAGAAGGAATTCACATCACATGGTAGACAGCAGGAGGTGGAATCTGAAACACATTGAGCTGTATTATAAGTTGGTAAATTGAGCTTTCCTAGAGTCACAGTGATTGGCACGAATGCATTACCTCGCCGCTCAGAAGCTATGAAATTTGGGGTTATTCTTGCCTCAGTAGGGAGATATCACAATTTG